ACCGGTGTCTCCTGTCTCTTGGATTCCGCAACAGTGGTACTGGGGATTGAACCCAGGGCACTCTGCCACTGAGATATATTCCTATCCCTTTGAGAGGTGATCTCACTGAATCACGCAGGCAGGATTTGAGTTTTCGACCCTCCTGCCTCTGTCTCCCTGGTGCTGGGATCACAGGAATGTGCCACCATACCCAGCTCCAAACTTCTTAATCTTTTCGAATTTGGTAGAAAAAACCAGGCACGGTGGTGTATGCCAATAATCCCAACACTCTGGGAAGCTAGTACAAGATGAATGCAAATTTGAGTCCAGCCTAGGCAACTAAGTGATTTAGTGAGGCTGTTTCCAAATGAAAAATAAAAATAGCTGGGAGTGGTGGAACACGCCTGTCATCCCAGCACTCGGGAGGCTGAGGCAGGGGGATCGCTGTGAGTTCGAGACCAGCCTGGGCTACATAGTGAGTTCCAGGTCAGTCTCAACTACATAGTGAGACCCTGTCTCAAAAAAACCAAAGTAAGTAAATAAATAAAGAGTTGGGGATATCATCAGAGATAGAGCATTTGCTTAGCCTGCATGCTGTCCAGGGCTCCATAGCCCCAGTCACTCGTGTGCGTGCGCACATGCACACACACACATGCACAAGGCCCCAGATAGAGTGATTTATGATTCACAGTTGTCTTATGACCACAGAGGGAAAGACCAAAGGAGCTGCACAGGTTAGTCATCTCAGACATCCCTGGGCTGCTAATGCAGGCACCACCTACTTTCAGAACCTTTGCAGTGAGGAAAGTCATTTATTTAAGCCAACTGTCAGCTGAAGCTAAGAGCATTCCAGGTAACCGATCCTAGGCCCTTCCCTCTGGCTCCAACACTAAAAATTGCAATTTTTTCCTGGCTCTCTGGATGACACAAAGGAATACAAACACAAACACAAACACAAAACGGCTGCTACTGTTAAGAGCAGAACACGGCTCCCAGTGCTGTACCAGTAACAGCCGGCTTCATTTCACAGCCATCAGTGTGCAGGCTCCTGGGCAGAGGCTGAGGCCTAGAGAGGCCCAGTCTCTTGCCAGGGTCACACACCCCACCTGAAGCGGCCGGGGCCAGGTGGGCTGTTTGTCAGCGCTCCATCTTTAAAACGGACACCTGAGATCATCAATGCATACGGGGAAAGGCCGATTTAGGCTCATGTTTTTGGAGGATCTAGTACAGAATCGGTTGGTCCCACTCTTAGGCATACAGTGGCCCATGTTATAGCAGCAGCGACCTGGGGAACAAAACGGTTCACTTCCTGGCCAGGATGCAGGAGAGGAAGAGGAAGGGGCGGAGCCCTGCACCCCTCTGAGGGTGTACCCCAGGGATGTGAAGACCTCTCACTAGGCCCCAGCTGTGACAGTTAAAAATCAACTCCCAGGGACACTGAAATAGCAATCTACATGGTGAATTTATCTTTCAATTATACGTTTGGAGTACATAATGATTACGTTCATTGTGGGGAGCAGGTACACGAACACAACACATTTTAATTCTTTTTATTTCCCTTCTCTCCCTTTCCCCAGAGTCCCATCTTAATATCCTCTTCTCACTTACAAAGACCCATCTCCCTATGGCCCATTATTGCCGCTCTTTCTTTTGTTCTTTAAATTATTTATCCTTTAGGTTTCTCATAGAAGAGAAGTTGTGCTATATTTAAACTTAGGTGTCTGATTTATTTCACTTAACATTATGGACTCTATGGTGGTGCACACCTGTCATCCCAGCCCTCGGGAGGCTGAGGCAGGAGGATCACTGGGAGTTCGTGGCCAGCCCGGGCTATACAGTGAGTTCAAGGGCGGAACTACAAAGTGAGACCCTGTATCAAAAAATGAAAACCGAAAAACCAAAAAACCAAAAACATGAAGGTGCCTCCATTTTCCTACAAGTGACTCAAATTTATCCTTTTTGGCGGAGTAGCACTCTATTGCATATAAATACATTTTCTCTATTCATTCCTCTGCTGATGGACATACAGGCCGCATCCAAGATTTAGCTATGCTGAACTGTGCTGCTATAAACATGGGTGCGGATAGATCACTGTGATATGATGTCTCTTTCCGGAATATTACTAGGAGGGGAATAGCGGGGTCCGATGGAGTTTCGAGCTGTATCTAACCCAGGAGGTTCCCATTGCCCCCACTGCCTCCCCAGGAAGGCTAGGGCCCCTCAGTAGACCTCCCAACCTTCAAATAAAGCCAATCCCCACAACCTCAGGTGTCCTTTTCCTGTTCTCTCTGCAGCACTCCCTACCCCTTGCCGACCTGACCTCCCCAATCCACAACTCACCCTGTGCTCCCGTGATCTTTCAATCGAATCCAGCGAAATTAGAATTCAAAAATCAACACCCACCCCCTCTTCCCTTTTACAAAATGGCCACTGTCCACTGTCATCTGGGAAAACACCAAAGAGCATTAAAAGGTAAATGAGGCTGTCACCATCTAGCGGGACCCAGGATTCCTACTGCACACACGCTGCTGCCAGACTTCCTCAGGCACAATGGTGCCCTCAGCCGTGCTTGACCTTCTAGCGACGTTTTCTCCTGCCCCCCAGTTCTTTCTGAGACCATTTCTTGCAACAACGCTACGGTGGGAACGGTTATGCCTTTTCCACAGTGGAGGAAAATGAGACCCAGAGGTGCTCTGTTTGAGACCATACCGCTTACTTATTTTACTTATTTTTTGAGACAGGGTCTTGCCATGTAGTTCAGCCTAGCCTTGAACTAACTACGTAGCTCAGGCCGGCCTCCCACTTGAGGCGGTCCTCCTGCCTCAGCCTCCCCAGTGCCCACTGCTGGGATTACAGGTGTACCACGCCCAGCCAGAGTGGGTTATTACAAAAAGAATGACTCTCGCTAGCCTCTGGTCCTTTTCTGTCTTGCCCTGTGATTTTTTTTCCCCTACGAACTCTCGCCACGGGTACTGCTATCCCACAAGGGCCTCTACAGAGGCCAGATATGTGGCTGTCCAGGTTTTGGACTTTCAGCTTCTGTCATGCCTGACTTAAGTGAGTCCTTCATCAACAAACAAGACAGGGCCAGGGATTTAGCTCAGTGGTGCTGCCACCTGCCTCACAAGTGCAAGGTCCTAAGTTCGATCCCCAGTACCAAACAAACGACATAAACAGGACAAAAGCAAACAGGCCACTTTCACTAAATGACAGGCTATTTCTCAGTAAACAGACCACAGTCTCCCCGGTGCCAAAGGGTCCAGTGATTACACACCTGTGCAGCCTGTCCTGGGACTCAATCAGGAACATTTCACCCCAGATTCCTTAGCCCCTTTAATATCTACTGAAGGGCCATGGATTTAGCTCAGTGGTTCCACCGCCTGCCTCGCAAGTGCAAGGTCCCAAGTTGGATCCCCCGTACCAAAAAAACAAACAAACAAAAAAAGCCAAAACCCTACTGAAATCTCCCCCAGCTAGCTGTTACTACCTCTCTCTCCCAATGTCAGCCCATCCACACAAAGATGTAATAAACTCGGCTTTTCTCAGCTAGCTGTTAGAATCTATTCCTGATTTTAGTCTCTCTTCACTGGAACAAACTTTTCTTTTCCTCACAAAAGACCAGTTTAAATGAGTGGATCCATGTGCACTCTCTGTAACAGCTTCCAAAACATTTCCGCTAAATCTCTTTCCTTTATAATATACCTGAGGCTGACGACTTACGAGTTTGAGGCAAGCCTGAGGTACGCTGTGATTTCAAGGCCAGCCTGAACTACACAGTGAAACCCTGTCTCGAAATAAAAGTCAAATCAGGGCCAAGGATTTAGCTTAGTGGCACCAGGCCTGCCTCAAAAGCACAAGGTCCAGAGTACATCCCTGGTACCTAAGGGGGGGAAAAAAATTAACCCACTCTGGTGGGATCTAATTCACTCCTCCAGACCAACAGTAGGCCCTCCTGAGGCAGCACCCTCAAAGATTCAGGTTCCCCTCACTGAGCCCAGGGAGTGTTCTACATCCCCAGCTCGCTCTCCACCTTTCAATCTTTTGGAAACAAACTCTCCTTAAAACGCCCAAGCTGTCTTCGATTTGTGACTCTCCTACCTGGAATCACGAGCTTGCACCACTGCGCCTAGCAACACTCTTAACTCTTTAAGGCTGCACCGCCTCCCAGGTCACCGCACTGAGAAACAAGCACCTAACATGTGCAGCCCGGCGGCGGGGGTGTCACTTAAACCGCAGCACAGAGTGCCTGTCCTTCCCACCACACGGCTTTTCGGGTCTTCCTCCTAATATCACGTCGTAGTTTGAAACGGTGGTTTGGACAGGTAAAAAGTATTTGCCTCTTTTCAGAATCAACCAACTCAGCCTCACGGATCTGGGTCAACCCCGCGTGCTGAGATCCCTCAACAGGCCCCTGGCACAAGGTGTCTGGTTGAACCTGGGGGAAGAGGGAGCTGTCCCACCAGCCCTGAAGAACCTGGAACTGGGTAGAAAATGCGCCCAAAAGCTTTTCCAATTGGGGCGTTTTCAGCTTCCCTGCGGGCAAAGGTAGTTGGTGCGCGACGCGGACTCCAGTCCAGGATGAGGCTTCGCTTATTCGATGGGTCTGCATCTCAGGCGTCCTGGGTAACAGACGTGGTGGCCGGAGGGGAGCGAACCGAGCCAAAGGTCACGAGGCCCAGCAGGACACCGAGGCAGGGGGCTGGCGGGGTGAGTGGCTGGACTCCTCCCCGCTCCTCGTGGCGCCGAAGCTGCGTCGGGCTCGGGAATCGCCCGCGGGACCCTCTGGATCAGCGAAGGGGCCTCGGGTCCCCGACGGGCTGATCGTCTGTCTCTGACTCTCCCTCCACGCACTTTCCCCGGACCCACATCATCGGGAGCCCCGCTCATCCCCCTTCGGCCACCTCGCGCACCACTCTGCCTAGCGTCGGGCATGAACTTGGAGCTTTAGTACCTGTAGAGCCAAGGCCAGGCCAGCGAACCACAAGCCCGCGCTCCGCCCGGAAGCCGGAAGTGTTGGTCGGTACCCGGGGTGTGACTTCCGGTCGCGCACTTCCGCTTCCGTTCCCCAGCAGAGATTGACCTGGGCTCAGCGCGCCGGCGAAGAGGTTGTGGCGTCTGCAGGTTCGTGGCGATTCGAGGGTAGGGGGTCAAGCGGAGAGGCTTGGGGTCGGGGAAGGTGGCCGGAGCCAGGCCGTTCAGGTTTGCGAGCCGGCGGGAGGTGAAGCCGGCGGTCGGGCTTGCTGGTGACGTGAAGAGGCGGAGGCGCAGCTGCCTTGGGACCCGGGACTTGGGTCACGGAGGGGACCCGGGTCCGGGGGAGCTCGGAGCTGTGTACGGAAGTCTCAAGCGGGAGGCTTCGGGCCTGGGACCTGGGAACTTTGTAAGCTGGAACTTCTGGGGCCTGGAAGACCCCGGAAGTCCTGACTCTGCCGCTCACCCCCACCCCCGGCCCGGGGCAGCTGCGGCCAGGATGATCGAGGTGGTTTGCAACGATCGCCTGGGGAAGAAAGTCCGCGTGAAGTGCAAGTATCCATCGACGGTCGAGGGGCAGTGGTCCTTGGGGGTGCTAGGCACGAGGCAGCCACCTACCACCTACCTCAGTGTGTGTCGTAGGTGTGGGTGCAGTTCCACGCGGGAGAGGGGACGGATCGGGCCCTGGTGTAAGATACGCAGCCCTGGAATGTTTACCTTCCCCGCTTTACGTCTGCCTTGCTTTTGCCTTAACTCCCCTGCGCCCAGCACCGATGACACCATCGGGGACCTTAAGAAGCTGATCGCGGCCCAAACTGGCACCCGTTGGAACAAGATCGTTCTTAAGAAGTGGTGAGTGCCGAGGTAGAGGTGGGAGCCGGAGCTGTCCACAGCCCTTTGCTGAGGGCCAAGAGCCTCCTCAGGCGTCTTTCTGAAAGGTTCCTGTCCCGTAGGTACACGATTTTTAAGGACCACGTGTCTCTGGGGGACTGTATCCTTTTCTTGACTCGAGGAAGTGCCAACATACCCAGCCCTGGTTGTCTTTTTCTCTGTACTGAAACCTGTGTGAACCTCAACGCCTAGAATTTAAAACGTGAGTTCTGAGGAATGGAATCATGTTTATTTCATTGAGGAGGAGGGTGGCTGGCCCTGTGATAAGTTTGACTTGGACATGTATTACTGAGGTGCCCCTGAGGTCTGAGTAGAGTGAGACATAGGCTCGCCTGTTGTACAGGAGGAGAAGGAACTCTTTTTTTGTAGTTTGGATTCTCTCCAAATCAAAATGGCGCAGTCCCAGATGGCGCAGGCCACCTGGATGGAGCTGCGATGGGATGAGGGGTGGGGATGGAGCCCTAGATGAAGATTCCTTAACACCATCGTCCAGATGAAATCCACGATGGGATGAACCTGGAGCTTTATTACCAATAGAGCAGAACTCCTCCCCCTTTCTTTACCCGCCTCTCCCGCCCTCCCCTCTCACACTGGTATGGATGCTTGTTTTTAAAAACTCACCTTAATAAACACTTAGATGCTGCTTTGTGAATGTGATCTTCGCTGAGCGCTGTCTTAGGACGGGAGGGTTGGATCTCTGTGGTCATCACTATGGCATCAGAACGCGGCAGCTTTAATGAGAGTTCAGGATAGCCCGGATGGAGCGGGGAGGGGCTCAGAGGTATGGTATTGCCTCGCATGTGGGAGGCCCTGGGCTCCATCCCAGCAAAACACACACATGCACAAAGAGAATGTATCAGCCAGAGCCCTGGAGTTTTCTGTGGGTTTCTGAAGGTGGAGACCATGGGATTGTTGTCACCCTAACCGACTTTGGAATTCTGGGTTGGGCTATAGGGACAAACAAGCAACACAGGCTTGGGGATTGGACAGACTATGGGTTGAACGTCAACTCTACTACCAACAGCCAAGAGACACTGGGCAAATTACTTAACCTCTAAACCTCTAGGCTAACCTCCCTAGGATTTGAGTTTCCCCTCTTAAATGTCAGGCTTTAGCCAGACGTGGTGATGGGTGCCTGTAATCCGAGCACTTGGGAGGCTGAGGCAGGAGAATCGCCGTGAGTTAGAGGACAGCTTGGGCTACGTAGTTCAGGGCCAGCGTGAGCTACATAGTGAGCCCTATCTAAATAAATAAACTGACAACTTGTACTGGGGAGCCCTGAAACATTACTGGAAGCCTCTGCATTAGGCTTCAGTCTCCTGCCCAGTGTATGATGCAGGCCCGAGAAGCTAAAAGAACTAAGAGAGACAGAAAGCGGGATGCCAGGGTAACCAGTGCCGGTGCAGCCTAACAAAGCCCAAGCCACTGACTTGTATTGATAATCAGTCGGGGTAAAGATGAGCTCTGTGCAAAGATAGCACTACATGCAGAGATGCATGGTCCGTGGGGTTTCTGTGGAAATTAAATGGAAGCAGGCCTTGCAAGGGACAAGATACAGCACTCTCACGTTAGGACAGAATAGACAGTCTATGGTTGTAATCAGAACATTGTTCTAGTTAAGGTTTTAGGGGTGAGAAAGGAATTTGGGCGAATGACTCTGACCTCAGCACATAGGAGCCGGTGTCATCCCGAGCCTGTCTCCCTGCCCCGTGGAGCCTCAGTCACGTTCAGTTTGCCCCGATCCCCTCCCCGAGTGGCACCCACTCTCTTGGGCGCGCTTTGGGGGTGGCTCTGTTGGGTCTCGTGGTCACCTCCCTCCCCAGGCTGTGGTGTCTGCCTGTCTTTGGGGCTCCCTCTTCCTCTTAACCTGTCACAGGTGTGTCTCTCAGTACCCTTGCTCTTCCTACTCTTTTTTTTTTTTTTTGGTACCAGGGATCGAATTCAGGTCCTTGTGCTTTTGAGGCAGGCGGCGGAACCACTGAGCTAAATCCCTGGCCCAGCTCTTCCTACTCTTAAGGTGTCTCCCCCTTGGCTGGCCATTTGAAAGCAGGCAATTGTTAATTTACATGATAGGGTTAACAATGTGATTCCTTAATTTCACATAAGCATAGAAGTGTGTGGGGTACAGGGAAGGCCCTTCTCCACCCTGTTTTCTCCTGAGGTCAGGCCTTTTTTGATGCTTTTCAACTTCAGTTTTTAGGAAGAGGAGGGGGCATGAAGCGGGGGATAAAATAAAATTTATTTTAAAAAATAAATGAACTTCAATTTGGGGTTTTTTTGTTTTTTTTTTTTGAGACAGGGTCTCACTATGTAGTTGAGACTGACCTGGAACTCACTATGTAGCCCAGGCTGGTCTCAAACTCACAGAGAGCCTCCTGCCTCAGCCTCCCTAGTGCTGGGATCACAGGCGTGCACCACCACACTTGGCCTCAATTTTGTTTTTAAAAGATGACTATTACCAGGCATGGTGATGCACGCCTGTGATCCCAGCACTCAGGAGGCTGAGGCAGGAGGATTACTGGGAGTTTGAAGTCAGCCTGGACTACATAGTGAGGCCCTGTCTCAAAAGTAAATAAGACTGCCAGGCATGGTGGTGCACCTCTGTAATCCCAGTACTCGGGAGGCTGAGGCAGGAGGATTGCTGTGAGCTCGAGACCAGCCTGGGCTGCATAGTGAGTTTCAGCTCAGTCTCAATTACATAGTGAGACCCTGTCTCAAAAAGCCAAAAAAAACAACAAAAAAAAAGTAAGACCGTGTTAGGGGCTATGGTGAGGTGTGGTAGCTCAGTGGTATACAGCACTTGGCTAGCATGCCTAAGGTCTTGGGTTTAATCCCCAGCACCAAATAAAAGAAAAACAAAAAAGACATTTTATACCGATGTCTGCTTGTAAAAAAAAATCCAAGTATTTTGTTCAAAGTTTAGTTTCTTATTTCTTATACCACGCCTCCTGCCAGTGATAGTCATTAATGTATTTGGGTAAATCTAGGAATTGTCTGAAATAGCAACCTAGGGTTTTCATACAAAAGGGAGTTATCTGGGTGTGGTAGCCCACACCTGTAATCCCAGCCCTCGGGAGGCAGAGGCAGCCTGAACTACATGGTGAGACCCTGTCAAAAAACAGAGCCAGGGATTTAGTTCAGTGGTTCCTCTGCCTGCCTCACAAGTGCAAGGTCCTGAGTTCGATCCCTGGTACCAAACAAACAAAAAAAGGGACAATTTATACTTCTGTAATTTGTTACTGTCCAGTAGTTTACTTTCTTGTACTTTATGTTTTTATATTTTCTCATAAGTTATCTGACTCATTCTTTTTAATAAGTATTTTTATTAGCTTATTTTGTTTTCGTTTTGGATTTTCAGGACAAGGTCTCGCTTTGTAGTTCAGGTTGGCCTTGAACTCTCATGTAACCCGGGCTGACCTCTAACAGCGATCTCCTGCCTCAGCCTCCCAGGCGTTAGGATTGCAGGTGTGCGCCATCACACCCAACCCTGTAATTAGTATTTTTACTGCCATAAAGGGTAGTAAAGAATGGGTCGCAGAGAAGCTGTGGTTTCTGCCCTGTTCTTGCTGCTTTGTCCAGCAGCTGCCTTGGCATCCACTGCACCCCGCGGGCTGGCTCAGAGGCCCATCCCACCGCAGTTAAGCCTTCAAATGAACACACAGCCACCCCTGCCAATACAGCTAAACTGCACCTGGATTCACAGGAAACTGAGATAAACGTTGACCCACTCAGCCATGGGGTAGTTTGTTAGACAGAAGTAGAGACCTCGAAAGAATCAGTAATGTGTTTCAGCATCATCTGCCACCTGGTACCGTGCATGGAGGGGGGTGAGGGTCTCTGCTGTATCCTTCTCCACACGGGCTGCCAGGTGTGGTGGCGCACGCCTGTAATCCCAGCAGCACTCCAGAGGCTGAGGCAGGAGGATCGCAAGTTCAAGGCCAGCCTGGACTGCACAGGTAGACCCTGTCTCAAAAAAAAAAAAAAGGTTTGGAAAACGGAGCAAAAAGTCTGAAGTTCAGTAATTAATAGTATTGTACCTATGCTGACTTCTTTTTTTGTTTGTTTGTTCTGGGGATTGAACTCAGGACCTTGTGCTTGCAAGGCAGGCAGCGACACCACTGAGCCCTGGCCCCCTATGCTGATTTCTTATGTGTGATCATCGTTCAATGCCATGGTCCCTCAGCATTGGCAGTGTAAATATTTTGAGTGACTAATTCATTGTGGGGACTGTTCTGTGCATCGAATGATGTTTAACAGCATCCAGGGCCTCTGCCCATTAAATGCCAATAGCATGACCCTTCCTCCCCAGTTGTGACAACCAGAAAATGTCTTGAGACATTGCCACATGTCCCCTGGGGAACAAAATTCAGTATCTCTTCCATTATGCGTTTGATTTTTTTTTTTTTTTAATGTACACGTGGTGCTGGAGATGGTACCCAGGGTCACACCTCTAGCCCCATTCTGTTAGCAAGATGCTGACAGAAGGAGGGGACAGGGAAGGGTCTATGAAAACTACTGCTTCTGCAACCCTTCCAACCCTAAGTTGGAACTGTTCCTTTCTAGCATCAGCCGCGGTGGTCACTTACATACTTTAATGAATCTAGTTTTTTTTATTTTTTTTTTGTTCTTTGCAGTATTGGAGATTGAACCCAGGGACCCTGCACCGTTGAGCTACATCATCCCCAGCCCTTTTTAATTTTTTATTTTGAGATAGTGTCTTGCTAAATTCCTGAAGCTTGTCATCTTCCTGTATCAGCCTCCCTCAACGTTGGGATCACAACCACATGCCAGAAATTTTCCGTGGTATAAACCTACTTAGTTTTTACACAGTTGAAATAAATATACATACTCCAGTACTTCTGTTTAGCAACTCACATTTTTATGCTTTTTTTTTTTTTTTGAGGTATTGGGAATTGAACCCAGGGTTCCGCACACACTGAGCCACATTCCTAGCCTTATTTTTACCTTTCTGTAAATGATTCACTTAACTCTTTTAAATTTGTTTTATTAAGCTTTGATTTTGCTTTGCTTTCATAATACTATAATGGCTGTGCAGTCTTATGATCTTTTTTCCCCCCAGCAAATACCAGGCACTGTTCTGAGTGCTTTATATGGTAGCTTATTGAATCTTCACATCAAACAGAAGAGCAAGGTATTATTGCTTATCTCTACTTTGCAGCCACAGAAGCTGGCGTGCAGAAGTGCAGTAATTTGTTCAGGGTCACAGCAAGTGGAAGAAAAGAGGCTTTGAATCAAGACGGTCCGGCCCAAGGGTTCCTGGAACCCACCACGTCCTGCCTCCAGTCCTGCTGCTGTGGGTTCACGTTGGAGCCCCGTCCTTTCTTAACAGTCACACAAAGGCCCGTGTAACCGACTTGTTCCCCAGCTCCGGCTGCCCCAACACCTCAGTGTCCCACGGGTTCTACAGAATTTAAATTGGTTCAAACTGAGCTCATTCTTCTCCCGCCCGCACCTCCTCCTGTGTCCTCCGATTGGCGGTGCCATCACCCATTAGTTGTTACTCAGGACAAGCCACATTGAGAGGGAATAGGTTGAAAGAGAGGTTCCAAAAGACATGGGAACTGTTTGGGTCAGCAGTATGGGTAAATGGTTTGCTCTGCAAAAAAAAAAAAAAGGTGGGTTAGCTTTGGACATCTGGAGAAAACAGGTGGGAAGAGGGAGGATGGAAGAGCCGAATTTAGGCTTTGGGTCCTTAGCTGCTCATCACCAAGACAACTGCGTTGCTATGGCAACGGAAAAAAGGCCTTAAAGTCCTAGGTACCTCGTCGGCTGCCGTTACCTCCCCACCTGCCATAAGCTTCTGCAAGGGACTTGCGGTTCTCTGGGAACGGATCAGGAAGGCGGAGGTTTCTGCTGCAATAGTCAATTAATAAGCTCTAAACCTGTCCCGATGAGTTCTGCGGCATAGAGCGACAAGAAGGGGTCGGGACTTTTTTGGCGCTCCTCAAAGGGCGTTGAAAAGGGCGGGCTCCAGTCCCTAGCTCACCACTTACGAGCGGTGGCGAGGGGAGGGGCGGGGCCGGGGTGAGGC